GGCGGCTCCGCGGCGCGGGGGGCGCCCCGCTCCCCGCCGTGTCCCCCGACGTGCCCCGACGGTCCCCCGGGCAGCGCAGGGGGACAGTGGCCGCTTCCCATCCCCCCAGCCTCGCCCCTCCCCCGCCGCGCTCCCTTTCCCCCCCGTGCTAAATGGAGTTTGAGCTCGGGCCCTGGGGGGTGGCGGAGCCCCGGACCCCTCCGTCGTAGGGCTGCTCCGCACGTGGAGCATCCGCCGCCAGCAGCCCCCTCACCAGCGCGGGCGGCCCACGCTCTGCCGCCCCGGCTCGTGCGCCCAGCTTGCGCAGGGTGTCCCCGCTGTCCCACCGGGCCGGGATGCTCCCTGGGAAGAGGCACGGGGTGTCGGAGCAGGCCTGGTTGGTATTGGCAGCTCCTCCCTCCACGCTCATCCTGGCGTCACAGCCCTGGGCGCTGAGGAAACTGAGTCACGGCTGAGCCTCCCGCGTGTCCCAGCAGCGGCCTCCGCCTGCCCCGGCCTCTGCCCAGGGAAAGTGGAGCAACCGCTGGGAAGTGCTGGGAAGAGGGTGGAGGGCCCCGATGCCGGCGTGTCCGGAGGGCGCTGGGCTGGAAAGGGCAGACRGGGCCCATGGGGTCTCCTGCAGCGCCCATGGGGCTCAGTCCAGCACCCGGCACAGCAGCAACAGCCTTTTTCCCCCCAAATCAAGTGGTTTTTTCCCTAATACTTCCTGTCTGTAAAGCCTCCACCCTTGGTCCCCCCACGCTCCAGGTGGCTGGGAGAGATCTGGGGACAACGTGTGGAGTGAAAGTGCTCCAGGCAGGAGCRGGTCCAGGGATGGCAGCGCCCTGGGAGCTGGATGTGCCGGCAGGGCGGGACGTCCCTGACCCGCTCTGGCACCGGCGGCTGCTCCACATCCACGCCGAGATCCTGGGGCCAAAGCAACCGGAGCCTGGAACGCCCGTGGGAGATGGGATGGAGATTGGCGCCAGCTGGAAAACACAGAAACCCACCCGGCTCCGGTGCGGCTTTAGCGCTAAGCCCCGAGGTTGCGCTTCAAAGAGCCGTGTTGCAACTTCCCGGCATCTCGGCGAAGCCAGAGCCGCTTCGGAAGGCAAAATAAACACGGAGGAGAGAGCGCGCGAGCCGCAAGCGCCGCCGCCCGGACGAGCCCCTCTGCGCTCGGGGCCCGGCCGCGTCCCCCCGCGCGGCAGCGGCAGCGGCGGGGCCGGCGCCCCGGCCGCGGAGCCCGCCGGGCCGCTCTGAATGACCCCACTGTTGCTTCGCTGCTGCCGGACGATTCGGATGAGTCACGAGCTATTTCTGTAAATAATAATAATAAAAAACTAACAACAACAAAAAGGAAATGGAATTCAGGGCCTGGTGAAGTATTTGTAGCTGGAAAGAGGGATAAATTAAAGGCCTCCCCCTGCCCGCTCCAGGGCCTTGCTGGGTGATCCCCAATCCCAGGACGGACACCAGRATGGAAGCTCATAGACAGCAAGGATGTGCCCCCCAAAATAAGTGTGATGGTCAAGCAAAGGAGGAAGCATCGGCGACAGAATCATCCCCCTCCGTGGTGGAGGCTCGTCCCGTTCATGGAGCGATCCTGGGATGGGGCCTCGGGAGCATCCCGGAGAGACCGGGAGCACCTGGGTGGGAAGGAGAGGGTTTGGTGCCCCCCCTTGCTGTTCGCTCCCTACCCCAGCGGGACCAGAACGGAGGGATGTCGGGATGTCGCTGTAGCTCTTTGCTCGGCGCTGTGCTGCTTTAGCAATCAAGGCAAAGAAGCGCTCAGGTCCACAGGAAAAAAAAAAAAAAAAAAAAAAAGAAGGAAAAACAAGGTGGCAGAGAAAAGAGTTTATGGTTTAGCAGTTAAAAGCTCTTTCTCCAAGTGTTAAATCCGTCTCTGCCATATGTCCCCCTGCTGCTGTGCCTGGCCCTGGGAATGCAGCAGGACCAGGTCCCGGGAGGTACCTGTTGGTACCTGTTGGTACCTGTTGGAGCCCGCGGCTCCTGGGAGCGGCGGGGGGCTCCCGGCCCCGGGAGGGAGCTGGGGCTCCCAGCAAGCCCTGGAAGAGCCACTGGAAAAAGGATTAAGGCGGCTTGGCTGAGCCAGAGCCACAGAGCGAAGGGGCTGCAGCGGCTGTGACTATTGGCAGGGGCTGTGGGGTCACAGAACCAGCCCCTCGTCCCATCCCATCCCATCCCAAGTTGTCCCATCCCGTGCCAGGCAGGCTGCCGCCCGCGCCACGCGGCACGAACACCCCTCGACATCCCCATCTCGCAGCTCCTTGCAGCGCCAGGAGCGCCCGGCTCCCGGTGCCCGGCCGCGCCGGGGACAGCCCGCGCGCTGCCAACGCGGCTCGCGCGAGCGACCGAGGGCCAGCACAGCAGCACGATAGGTAATTTATTTTATTGCATTTTATAATGCCGTTGTCCATACAGATTACATGCAGCTAGACCTACTGTACAAGGGTTTACCGTCTGCCAAAGCAGACACACGGAAGTTCAGAGTACAAATACACAGCAACGCTATTTCCTTTACACAGCGCGGGGGCCGCGGGGGGACGGCACCCCCTGCCCCGCTGCCCCCATCCCTCCTCGTGCTGCCCAGCCCRGACACAGGGGCGGGAATGAACCGAGAGGGAGGAAAAAGGGGGAAAATAATAAAGAAGTGTCGTCCGGGCCGGAGGCGCGGCGGGATGGGGATGAGGCCGCCTGCATCCTGACGGGCTCCGCACCGGGGCTGCGTCCCCTCCGGCACCCCGGGAACGGCCTCGCCTGGGGCTGAGGCTCCGAGGTTTCCGGGGCCTGTCCTGTCCCAGTGCCGGGGGCTGGGAAGGGGGTGAGGGATGTGACCCCCCTGCTTGGGCCCCTCTCTAACTTCCAGGACAAAAACCTAGATATAGGGACGTTCTCGTAACCGGCGCCACTGCTCGGTCGTGTAAACAAAGCAAAGAAACCCTTTGGTTTAGCTCGATTCCCTTCCCGCGGCTGCTCCGCCGGCAGCTGCGCCCGGGACCCCGCTCCGGCCCCCTGCTCTTCCCGTGCTCCTCCTCATCATCCTCATCGTCCTCACTGAAAAAGGAGGGAAAAGAAAACAAAACCAGAACCAGGATAAGGCGGAAACTGCAGCGATTCCTGCGGGATGTCACATAGAAATACCAGAAAAAGCCTTTATGGAGGGGGAGGTCCGGGCTCCGCTCCCGYGCAGCCCTGCCGGGGGGAGCGGCAACGGGGAGCAAAGCGCAAGGAGCCCAAGCACGACTCATGGTAGGAGGTTTAAAACCAGTATATATATATCTCCATATATACAGACATACAATTCTGCCGTACTCTGCGTTTGGTCCTTTACCCTTCCCTCTCCCACCGCCAGACGTGTTTGAGGTAACAAAATTGCCTAAAATGCAAAAATGGCAAAAAAAAAGAAAAAAAAAAAGACTCTGCCTGGCGCCGCGTCCTGCAGCGGACCCGGCTGGCTGCGCCGGCAGGGGCAGAGGCTGGAGCAGGTTTCACCCCTGAGTACCAAAGCGGGGGTTTTTTGCGTGAAATCGCCRGTTCCTCCTGCAACGACTGGGCGAGGGGGACGGGGGGCAGCCTGGCACCACGCGACTACCCAGACCCGGGCACAAAAAGAAAAAAAAAAAGGAAAATACCCCTAAAAAACCCTCTGTTGTATTTATATATTTATTTATATATATATTATATATATAGAGAGAGTGCTCTTGTGAGCCAGGGTGGTGGTAGCAACGTGTGGGAGCGCAAGGGGAGCGGGGAGGAGCCCGGCTGACCCCGCGGGGATGCTCGGAGCAGGGACCAGGATCCTTGAYCCCGCGGGGATGCTCGGACAGGAGCAAGGACCCGGATCCTTGACCCCGCGGGGATGCTCGGAGAGGAGCAGGGATGGGGCTCCGTGCGAGGTGGCTCTGCGCTGGATGAGCGCGGGATGGGGCTCAGAGCGAGCGGCGTTGCTACCTGCAGAACTGCAGCCGCTCGCGAAGGCGACCGGCCGGCGATGCCAGCGACATCAGTGCCCGGGAAGGCGGCGCAGGCGGGAGCCGCACGGTGACCGGCCCTTGGGCAGCCGCCGCTTCTGCAAACYGCAGCAAATGCACCAAAACGAAGGAAGCTCCTCCAGGGAATTGCTGCCTGGGGGAACCGCAGCCGCTGGTGCCGGCGTTCCGCATCGCCGCAACCCCAGCCGGGCGCTGCAATGGGATGGGACGCACACACTGGGGTTTTCACCTCTCTTTGCTGCCCAGCAGCCCCCAAACCAACAAGAGGCAGGTCATGCAGCTGCACGAGGGGAGCTAAGGGATGCGGAGCAGCAGGGATGGGCTGCGGGACGCGGGTCGGCAGCGCCCGCCGGCCCGGCCCGCGGCCCCGCGTACCGTCGGTCCCGGGGGGCGGGGGAAGCAGCAGCGCCCCACTCGGGCCTACCTTCATGGACACGTACACATGGTGGCTGTAAACTTGTTCAAAACAATAACTTAAACAGAAAAATCAAGAGGYTGGAAAGAAAAAARGGAAGAAAGAAAACGCGGAGGGGAGGATGCTGGTGGCCGCCTCGCTAGCTCCCTGGCTGGCCCAGGAGAGCTGCAGTGACGTGAGCGGCRCAGAGCTAAGGGAGATTTGGTTTGTGCCTCGGAGGGGTCTTTGGTCAAAGGCAAAGCCCGTTTTGGAGCGGGATGAGGGCAGCGGGGCAGCCTCGGGCTGCAGAGCGGTGTCTGCTGCCGCCCCGGGCGCGCGGAGGGGCCGGGAGCGAGCGCCGAGCGCTGTTCCCGGCCCGTGAGCCACGAGGCGCCGGGAGCAACGCGGGGCCGGTGGAGACACCTAGCGAGGCGAGCGCGGAGAACAGGGGCGGCCGGGCAGCGGGCGAGCCCTGCGCCAGCCGCCTCGGAGCTCTGCGCGTTTCGGGGCTGGGAAGAGCCGGTGCAGGGGCCGCGGAGCTGCCGCGCTGCACAACGGGGTGCTGCAGAGGGGAGGCAGGGAGGAGGCGCTCGTGCCGGCCGGGGCAGCGAGCCGGGAGACGCTCCATTCCCCCAGGAGACGCTGGGCACACGCCGCTCCCAGCCCGTGCTGCCGGCGCTGGAATTGTGCGGCATCGCCACCCGGCTCAGCTTTTCTCAGGGATGCGGAGGGACGGGTGCAGCAAGGAAAAGGCTCAAAACCAGGAGCATCTGCCCCTTACTGCAACCCGGAGCAAATCCTCTCCAAACCACCCAAGTCCCACTGGGACGGCCCGGCCAGCCGGAGCGCGTYCCCTCAGCACCACCTCCGAGCCCCCGGCCCACAGACGGAAAAAAGGGGTCCAAGAAGCAGGAATGCCCCTGGCCGGGGGCATCGACACCGCGGCCCCTGCAGCACCGGGGAGCCCGGCCGGCGGGAGCCACAAGCGCCAGCGATGGAAGAAAAGAGCAGGGAGAAGAGGGGTGTTTGGTTGTGTCGTTCTCATTATTAACATTTCTTTTTGGCATTATACCATCTGTTCACCTGAACTACGGACCTAGAAATCTTTTGGTATCTTCCCATCCGGATGCACATGCACAGGAAAAAAAAGAAAAAAAAAAAAAAAAAAAGGAAAACAAAACAGAGGGAACCAAAGAGCTCAGGCTGGGGTGGTCATGGCTGATTTGGGAAGGATGGGGCGGCACAGGAGGTCAGCATCACCCCGAGGTGGCATGTGGGGAGCTGGGCAAGGGCTGCTCGCAAGGTGCCCCACGTGCTCAGCACGCGCCCCCGGAGCCATTCCCGCAGCTTCGGAGACAGAGGAAGCGGGAGCCTTTCCCTGGACTCGCCACTGCCTGGCCTCTCCGGCGCTTCACAGTATGGAGAYGTCGCCCTCCGCGCTCGTGACGGCGAGAAGCGGCTTGAGCTGTGGCGTGTTCAACCGCGCCGCCGCCTCCCCCGGCACCGCAGGGGACAGGGACGGYGGCAAACACAAGTTGGCTCTTCCGGGCTCCAAGCGCTCCAGCGATGCGTCGGGAAGGCATCTTGTTCCAGCCACGACGCGAAGGCGTCGTCCCCGTTTCTGCTGTTTTTCCCCCCAAAGCTGCCGTCCAGCTGACGGGAGGCAGCGGGCGGGAAGGGGTGAAGACTCCTCCTAGTGCAAAACCCCCTTGGGCAGGAGGCGCGGGGGGTCCTGCCATCGCATTCCCTCCAAGCGCTGCCGGTGCCCAGGGCAGATCCTGGAGCTGCCTCTTCCTGGGCACGGTCCAATGCCCACCACAATACTGCTGGGGGAGCCAGCACGGAGGATCCAGGGATGCCGGGAAGGAAGGAGGGACAACGCTGGACAGAAACAACCTACCATCCTCGTCCACCACTCAGTCACTATCCACGGGGAAAGAAAAAGTTCAGCTCTTGGGCTTGCGGATCTCTGCGTGGCACCCGAGGCAGGAATCTGTTGGCGCCCAGGACGCGGGCAGTGGGGAGGAGGAGGAGGGACGTGCCGTCAGCAACAGGTCACCCCAAGGAAACCCTTTTGCTCTGTGGAAGTGCCTTTAAAAAGAGGTTAACGCCGGAGGTCACCTGGAGGAGGTGGGAGCCGCTGCGGGGGCTCCGGCCGCGGAGGGAGGGAAGCGCTCGCCCCTCGGGCAGGACGACGGTGGGGAGGAGGACAACGGGGTCCTTAGGACAAGTCTTCCACCGGCAGCTCCTCCTCCAGGTCCCTGTCGTCGGGAATGGTCACATTCTGGTTGGCGGCGGCCATGAGGGAGACGGGCCTGCTGTCGTCTTCGGCCTCGGCGGGCTCCTCCTTCACGTGCACGGGATGGCTGCCGGGGGGAAGCGCGAGGGGCCTCAGGCTCCACCGAGGTGCCCCCGGAGCCGCCGCGGCCGTGTCCCTTGTCCCCCGCTCACCTGTACTGCTGCGGGGAGAGGCGCGGGCTGCTGCTGCCGTTGCTGTTCACCTGCTCCACGGTGCTGCTCACGTCGTCGTGGCCCACGTGCAGGAGGCCGCTGGCCGAGCCCGTGTTCAGCATCGTGGGGCTGTTCAGCAGCGGGAAGTTGCTCTCCGCCAAGGCGGCCTGCRAGGAGGAGCGGCGGTCACGGCTCGCGCGGAGCCCGCGGCTCGAACGGGGGACGCGCGGGCAGAGGCTGCCGAAGGGCCTCACCTGGTAGCTGGCGTTAAGTGCTCCGTACCCAAGTCCCGAAATCATGTTTTTGACCAAAGTCGGGCTCCTGCGGGAGACAGGGGGTGCAATGGGGCTYGTGCCGCGGCGCTCCGGCCAGCCCGGCCCCTGCGAGCAGGGAAACAGGAGGAGATGGAGCTGCCATGGCCCCACCTTGGGCCTTCCCTGCTGAGGTGTCCATGGTGGGGAGAGAGACCCCAAGGAGCATTGGGAAGTGCTAAGGGTGGCATAGCAGCAGCAAGGGGACCAYGGGTGCTGTGGAAGAGGAGGGCTCCTGATGGCCATGCTCAGTCCGGATGGGCTCCCGGGAGCAGCCGGAGAGCCAGGCCGGGCGCTCAGACACATCCCCACGGGAGAGCAGGACCTACCCGGTCATCTTTGGTGGCCTTCGCTTTTGGTACTCGTGCTCGTCGACGGTCCACACGGCGCCCTTGACGTTCTCCACGCGCACAAAGCACTTGTGCAGGCTCAGGTTGTGGCGCACGGCGTTCTGCGGGCAGAGCGGGCACGGCTGCAGCCTGGTCCCACCACCCCATCCGAGCCCTCCTGATGCCACCATCCTGCGGGAACGGAGCCCGGACAGGGAGCAGCAGCCACACACCCACCCCTACCGGCCACCAGCTCTCCATGGTAGTGGGGCTGCGAGACAAGGTCTGCGTGTCCTAAACTCCCCAGGGAAGGGACAAGGCCCACGGCTGTCCCAGCAAACTGAGCTGAGCCTGGGACCAAGCGGGACAAGGGAAGGAGCCGCCGCGGCTCGTTGGGAGATGCCAGGCGAAGCCAGCAGCTCTTTCTTCCCTTTTCTCCTTCCTTCCCCCCTCCCTTTTTGGTCCATTCCCTCCCTTTCTTCTTGACGTCGCCCATCTTTACATTTCTAAATGTAAAATAAAGAGACGCACACGTAGGCAGACAGCGCAGCCCCGAGAGATACCGGCTCCCTTTTCCCCTTCCAACTCCCTGCCATTTGCTACTGCCCCTATTTCATTACCAATTTTAATTTGCCTCTAATTAAATCCTGTGTATTTTTCCGACTCACTTGCTAATCCATGAGGGAGGCAGGAGGCTGGAGTGGAATCTCTCCGAGCTATAATTACAAAGGGCCTAATCACGCCGGGGCTCTGCCTTTGAATAAATTTCCTTGCATTAAGGTTCTCAGATTCTCTGCCTTGCAAATGAGAATGACCCCAATTTCAGGAAGTTGGCCTCGGAGGGGCTTTTTTTTTCCAGCTTTTTTTTTTTTTTTTTTTTTTCCCCAAGTCCTGATTCGTGATGAGAGACTAATTCGTTACGCTAAAACATTAACAGCAATTTGAAAGGTCGAACGGGGGCTGTATAAACAAAGGAGCTGGCCAAGACAACAAGGCGAAAGGAGACACAAGGACTGGGCCACCCCTAAGGTGGGAAAGTGTTAAGAGTTCCTGGAAACTCATCAAATTGGGCTGCTCCCCCGTGCCCAAACACACACTTTGGTTTGTAACGTAGGGGCAGAAGCAAAGCGAGCCGGGTTCCCTGCCCAGGACCCCGTGCAGGTTGTGCTGCGTGCCCAGCGCAAGGGCCAGCGCCAAGACCCAGCGTGGGGACACTGCAGAGGGCTCTGGGGACAACCAACCATGGGGACACTYTGCAGAGGGCTCYRGKGACAACCAACCATGGGGACACTCTGCAGAGGGCTCYRGGGACAACCAACCATGGGGACACTCTGCAGAGGGCTCTGGGGACGTTCCCCTTCCTGGTGCAAAGGGGTTGGGGCAACATGAAGGCTAAACCAACTTGTGGCCACGGTGCATGGGCAGCTGCGGATATGGGCAAGTCCTGGGGGGACACGCAGGCTCTGAGCTGACCCAGGGTGCTCTCTCACCGCTAGGTTTTTCCATTCCTGCCTCTCCAAAGTGTCTCCCAAAGCACTCAAGGAAGGAGGGAAAGCTCTGGGCACTGTGCCYGCAGATGGACCGGCCTCTCCGTACTCGCATGGGGAGGCACCAGCCGGASAAACGTCCCGAGGAGACAGAAACCAAAAAGGCACCCTGGGCAATAGCAAGGCCAAAGCTGCCCAGCCCTTGCACGGGTGGCTGCAAACCCTCCGCGGCCACCGGGCTCCTCGATGTGACTCAGACGTGCGGAGGGTCCCCGGGGCCGGGCAGCGCTCCCACCCCGCGCGGCTCCGGCGGCTCCCTTGGATGCGGCTGTTGGATTTCGACAGCTGTTTGCTCAGCACGGGCCGTGGCTCCTCTGTTTGCTTCTCCTCTTTGCCTTTTCTAATGGTGTTTGCTCTGGGCCCCTGGCCCCGCTCCCCCTGCCCTGCCCTGCCCTGCTGGGGAGCGCAGCGGCCCCCGGCCTCGCACCAAAGGGCAGGGAAACCGGGACAGAAACGCGCTATTTTATTCCTATGTATCCCCCCTGTTGCCTTTCCCCAAAAAAATGGGCTTTGGAAACAGCAAATCCAAGGGGAATCACGAGCAGGGGCCTTTCCCAGTCCCCTCCCAACCCTTTTGGGCAGGAAAAAGCAAAGAGCAGCAAAAAAGAAGAGGAAAGGGTTGGGGAAGCTCCACTCTGAGACTTTGCAACCTCAGCTAAGCCACCAAAAAAAAAAAAAAAAAAAAAAAAAAAAAAAAAAAGGGAAAAAAAACCAAATACTTATTCTTTTCATCTAATAAAAAAGAAGGAGAAAAGGCAGTTTTCAGCAGTGGGTGCTACTTCATTCTGCAGATGGGGAAAGCGAGGCGCCAAATACTTATTCTTTTCATCTAATAAAAAAGAAGGAGAAAAGGCAGTTTTCAGCAGTGGGTGCTACTTCATTCTGCAGATGGGGAAAGCGAGGCGCGGAGCGGGGACAGGGCTCCTGGCTCCATTCCCGCTCCAGCGCGACGCTCCCGTTGCAATACTGCCCGTGTGCCGTGAGGGGGACTCCAGACCAAGGCAGGGTCCCGTCCCCGGCGCTCGGAGCCGCAACAGCCGCTCTGGAAGAAGCGGCTCCTTCCAACCCTCACCACGCGCTGGGGCCCCTCTGGCCTCTTGTTTGTCTGAGGTGGGTTTGGGGGTTGCTTTTATCTGCTTCTAACTTTTAAACTTGCATTTCTCCTTTCCTGCCTTGCTTGCCGCTATCTGGAGCCGAAGGAAGTTGTGCTGGAGCAAACACATGCAGCAGGAAACAATAAATAAAACCTGGTTGGGGCTATAACTCCTCCTTTCACAACTATCCCTTTCATCTGAGCTTTTTTTTTTTTTCTCTCAGATTTGGCAATTTTGAAATAAAGGAGAACAGAGAAGTGTCCTGCACAGTGGCCCTGGAAAGCTAATGCGGAGGTGCTGAACAGCAGCCTTCACTCTCCATTATCCACATATGTCTCTCAAAAATGGCAAAAWAAGGACCTTGAAAATCAAGATCAGCCCCCAGACCTCCCGGTCCCTTCGCATATGAATGTGTCCCTCTTGCTGGTGCCCCCAAGGTGCAGGAAAAGCCAGAACCGCGAGGCTCCGTGACGGYCCCTTGCAGGGACTGCTGCAAGATGAAAGCCCTTGCACAGGGCATGCAAGAGGTGATAGGGAAAGGAGGCTCTTTAGGGATGGAAGATAAACCCAGGATACCCCGCAGCATCCTAGAAACCTCATCCAGCAGCTCGCGCTCCCCTTCCCCTCCTCCTGGAGGAGCATCCGCTGCCTCGCGCTGGCTCCCAAGCCGTGGCCACAGCGTCTTGCAGCTCGGCAGAGGCAGCTCTGATTTGCTGCGCGCAGCGACACCAGCCCCCGGGTTATCATTAACCTTATTTGCTATTTCGAGTGTCTCGCTTTTCTCTTTTACCCTTCTCCCGGTGCGGAGACGTGCTGGCTCCGSTCCAGCCCCAGCTCCCGGCTGCAGGAAGGCGCCAGCTGCTGCAGCGCAGCCTTGGCAGGCCAGGCCATGTCCCACCAACCTCCCCAAGCCGCCCTGAATTCCACAGGTGCCCTTCAGGGCTAAAATGTTTGCATTTACCCGCAAAACCCTCTCCCGCGTCCCCCAGGAGCTTTGCTCAGAGCTGTGTGTTTGGCGGGTCATGCCTGGGTGAGACACTGGGAGGAGGAAGGATGCTGGCACGGTGGTGGCCAAAGATCCTGCCACCATCTCCAGGCCAGCAGCATCCCGCCTTGGCAGCTCCTTTAGCCTCACTCAGGCATCTGGAGCGCTCGGGATGCCAGAGTGCCAAGGGCGCACTCAGCGCCAGGTCCCTGGGCCCGTCCCCGCGGCGCGGAGCCGGCTCTACCTTCCAGGTGGCCGTGTTCCTCCTGAAGTAGGCGAACATCCGCGTGAACCAGTTATAGATTTCGTTCAACGTTAGCTGCCTGTCTGGGGTCTCAAGGATGGCCTGGRAAATAGGAAAGGGGGGGAAAAAAACAGACGAGAGGATTACCCGGAAAGCCCAAACTTGCCGGCCCAACGAGGGACCGAACTGCAGAGCAAGGGGAAAACTCACCTGCCGGATGAGCGAGGCGTACGTGAAGGGCGGCCGCACATCGGCGTTTTTGTAGAACTCGTGATTCTGTGCAAGTTCTGCGGAGAAGAGGAAGAGGACGGGGAGATGAAGGCAGGCGCTCCAGCACGCGGCCACGGGGCGGCCGTCCCCTGAGCTCACCTGAAGATATCGGCGTGCAGAACTTGTCCGAGTTTCTCCTGCGGATGGGCCCCACGTTGTGTAAAGTGGAAGAGCTGATGACGGAGGGGCCCTGGCGCAGGGGGGTGATGGGGGCGGTGGCGGAGGTGGGCGGGTGAGGTAAGCCGTCGGGAAAGGTGTCGGAAGTGCTCTTGGAAAGGCTGGCACTGGAGACCAGGTTCAGCTGCAGGGAGAGAGCAGCGCGGGTGGGCAAGGGGAGCCGGGYGCCGGCGGGGCCGGCGCCGAGGAGTCGGGCGAGGGCAGGGAGGCCAACGCACATGGGCGCTTACAGGCTGGCTGAACGGCTTCGGCTCCGACGGTCGCATGTGCAGGTGGGCCATCATGGCCTGCAGCCGCTCGCTCTCCTTCGCCAGCTGCCCGGGGGAAGCACGAGAGAGGTGGAGCGGTGGAGGCACCACAGGGACGCCCCAACCTGGGCGCATGCATCAGCCATCCGTCCATCCACACTTCCATCTGTCCTTCCTTCCTTCCTTCTTTTCCTTCCTTCCTTCTTTTCCTTCCTTCCTTCCTTCCTTCCTTCCTTCCTCTCTCTGCCTATCCATTCCTTCATCTGTTCTTCCATCCATCCATTCTTCCATCCATCTGTCCTTCCATCCATCCATTCTTTCACCCACCCATTCTTTCACCCATCCATCCCTCTATCCATTCTTTCATCCATCCTTCCATCCATTCATGTCCATCCATCCTTCCATCCATTCATGTCCATCCATTCTTCCTTCCTTCCTTCCTTCCATCCATCCATCCATCCATCCATCCATCCATCCATCCATCCATCCATCTGTCCTGCCATCTGCCCTTCTGTTCATCTGTGCATCCTTCCATCTGTCTTTCCACCCACCCATCCATCCCTCCATCCATCCCTCCATCCATCCATCCATCCCCGGGACGCGCCACATTGCTGTAATTGCGCCCCGCTCCCCACGCGTTGACTCCCCCGGGTGCGGGCAAGGGTGAAATATTGGCCGTGGCACCGGGGCGGCGCGTGAGCGCGGCGCGGGCGATGGGAGCTGACACCCGCGGCCGCCGCCAGCCGAAGGGGTTAACGGCGCGGGGCCGGGCGCGAGCCGGGCGCTCTGCGCGGGGCTCGGCGCTCGCTCGCGCGGCCGCGCTCATTAGAGCTGACAGCTCTCCCCTCGTGACGCGGCCGCACCGCGCCGGCACAGCGGGAGCTCGCGCTCCAAACTTTCTAATTGCTCGCTCGGGTGGCAGGCCCCGCTCGTGGCGCGCGGCCCTTCTGCTAGCCCTTCAGGTTTCTTTTTTTCCTTCCCCCCTTTCCCCTTCCCCTCCCTCCCTCTTTAAGCTCCAGTAATTGCTTTCAACCTTTCGCTTTAGCGAGCGCTGGGGACCGGGCTGTGAGCACACGGTTTGACTCGGTGGCTTTGCAGTCTCCCCATGCACTGCTGGCAGGGGCCCCTCCGGCTTCATCCCGGGTTATTTCCACCCCTGGCAGCTTCCAACGCTGCCTGTCCTGTCCCACTGACCTGTCCAGGGACCTTTTCCCTCCAAAGTTCTGGCAAAACCTCTGTGGCTTCCCATTTTTCCCTCCCTTCCCTATTAACCAAGCTAGGCCAGGCACTTCGGGGAGCCAGCGATGRTGGGAAAGGCACTATTTAAAGAGCGAGATTTCCAAAAATAGGCACCTCGAGTTAGACTCCAAAGGCCGTACTTAGTCACCTACATAAGTGGCCTGATTTGCGCAGCACTGCCAGTCCCAGCGCTCGCAGCCGGAGGAGGCTGGCGCGCTGCGAGCGCGTCCCGCGTCCCCACTGCGGCAGCCCGGGCACCCCAGGGCCCGCGGGGAGCGCGCGGCGCCGCCGCCGTCCTCGGGGCTCTGCTCCCACCCACCTGTATTTCCAGCTGCTGAACCACTTGCATCTGCACGCGACACTGCGCCGTGCTCCGGTCATCGAGCGCGTGCTCCGTGTTGAGGTGTCTGCAGGGGAAGAGRGGGCAGGTTTCGTGCCGGGGTGCACCAGAAATGCACCCTAGTCCCGGGGATACACTTGGGACCAGCTCCGGCTCGTGGGGACATGGGGGGCCGCTCGCCTGAAGCGCTCCAGCCCATGGGGGGCTTCCTGCCTGAAGCGCCCCAGCACTGGGTCCCCTGCACTTGAGGACACGGGGACAGCACTGGGGGTGCTCGAGAGCAGCAGCCAGTTCATTAAACTCCCAGAGAAATCCTGCTTCGGAGCGGGACCCACCAGACCAGCGGAGCAGGTTCCCAGGACAAAGGCAGCCTTATGCAGCTTTATTTACACCCGCTCCGGAAGGCCCTGCGGGCAGGGGCTGCATTTCCAGGGTGCTCCTTGCAAACACGAGCACGCCAGGTCTCTGCCATCCTCCCTCCTTGGGAGGCCTTGKTGGGGATGCAAAGGGCCACGCGAGCAGGTCGTGCACGTCCCTGCACACCCCGAGCTGCGGCGCGTGCTGCCCACGTGCCCGGGGCAGTCACTGCACTGAACCACATGTGTGCATTGCTTGCAAGTTCCCAGCCTGGCACCCCAGGAGGGCCCATTCCTTGAGGGCAAGAGCTCTTCCCCGCGGGGAAACCCAGGGGACAGCGAGGTGGGAATAGCGACTGCCCAGCGCCTCTGGATGCTCTCAGCTCCCAGCAAGAGCAGGATGTTTGTGCAGAGACATCCCAGGAGAGGCTGTGCAGGGAACGTCCACCGCAGCGGTGCTGGACACGCACAGCACCAGGAGGCTCCCTGGGCAGCCGGTTTGCGAAAAAGATCCAGCCCCGACTTGCAAAAACAAGTTAGGTAACCGGGCCCGGCTGCCAAGGCCGCGCGTGCGCGAGCCGCCCCGGCGGCAGCCCCGCGCTCCCAGCAACTGGGAAAACTGCAGGATTTGCGACGCTTCCCAAGCCTGGCTGTTCATGTGCCCCGTGCCATGCAAACGTGCCGGCAGCCCCGAGGAGAGGCCTTATCCAGGCTCCCGCAGCGACCCAGCGGCAGGGAAAGGGGCCGGCAGGAGCCTGACTCATTAGCACGTCYGGTAGCCACCAGACAACGCTGCCCGGCCTCGCCAGCCGCCCTTCGGCGCCACCTCCTCCTCCTCAGCCAGGCCTGCTTGGGCAGTGCCTGGCTCCGGCATGGTCTTCCCTTGGGATAAACCTGCTCCTGCAGCTGGAGCCCATCCCGCACCCSCTGGCTCTGCCCATTGCCGCTGGCRAGGATGAAGGCTGGCGAGGATGAAGGCTGGTGAGGACGAAGGCTGCGCATGGCAGCGTCCATCACCCGCCTCGGTGCAGCCAGAGCCAAGCGCGCGGCACCCGGTGCCTCGCGGCCCCAACTCCCCCAACGGCTGCTCGGAGCAGGGACGCGGCAAGCGAGGCAGGGGGAAAAGCGGGAAGAAAAGAAAGCCCGTCAGTTCCTTCTGATGTCTTTGCTAAAAATCCCGGCTACAAAGAGATCTAATTGCAAATGAACTAATTAAGTAAACCTCTGACGAAGCGTGAAAACAATTTGTTTGACCCTGACGCTGGCGGAGGGCTCGCAGACAGCGGAGTTAATCAGTCAGCGCCAGAGCCCACGAGCGGTGTCAGCGGCGGCCGCGCTGCCATCTGTCTCCTCCTCTCCCCGCGCTGCCGCTGCCTCTCCCGCCTGCATCCTCCTCCTCCTCCTCCTCCTCCCGCGCACCCGTGTCCCCACTTCCCCGGCGGACACCTACTTGACGAACTGCCCCAGGTCCTCGCAGAGGGTTTCACAGCCGGGCCACTTGCACTCGCCGTGGCCGTAGAGCGGGTGCGAGCCGGGCGCGTCCTCGTGGGAAGAGCTGCAAGGCAGGACAGGGGCCTGTCCTGTCAGCCCTTCGTGGCGCCGTCCCGGGGCGCTCCCGCGGGTGCCCCCGCTCCGCGGTGGCACCTACCTGTCTCTTCGCGGCGTGTGCATGGCGCTCTGGCCATTGGGCAGAGAGTGATGGGGAATGGGGGGCGAGACCTTGGCGGCCGGAAACGAGGTAGAGTTGGAGGTGTTGGTGGAGAGGTCGAGGCCCTCTTGCTTGATGCTGTCCTCGACGGGCTGGCTGGCGGTGACCTCCTTCCAGAGCTGCTGGAGGTCCGAGGGGCACACGGCTGCGGCGAGGGAGGCAGAACGCCCCGCGGTGAGCAGGGAGCGCGGCCCCGCGCCCGCGTGCACCCCCGGAGCCTGCGGCGAGCGCGGCGCAGCGCAGCTCCCTGCCGGCCCTGGCCTCTCCCAGCCCTCGGAGCGGCAACCGCGGCTCCGCCGACGTCCCCCCGTCCCCCCTGCGCAGCAGGCGAGCCCCGAACTCCAGCAAGCGCGTGCTAAGCGTGCAGCTAAGCCTGTTCCTAGGAGGAACGAGCAGCTCGGCTATTTTAGGAGYGGCGCTTGCTGCCGAGCGCCGCTGCCAAGCCCGAGCCCCCGCGCTTACCTTGGGGGAGGCTCTGCAGCGGGACGGAGGCCTGGCCCGGCTGGAGGCTCACGAGCCCTTGTCGCTGCAGGTTTAACAGGTGCTGCTGCTGGAGCTGCTGCATCTGCAGGAGCTGCTGCTGGAAGGCCAGCTGCTTGTTCCCGAGCGGCTGCTGGGAAGCGGAAGGGGGAAGCGAAGCCGCGTTATTGCTCGCGACAGCAGCCGCGGGAGGCAGCGCCGGGGCCTCCCTCCGCAGGCCGCGCCGCCTGCTCCGCTCGCCGCCGTGCCAGGCGGAGGCTTTGATCTCTCGGAAGAGGAGGGGAAGCGAGAGAGGAAAAGGAGAAAAAAAAAGAAAAGAACAGGGAAGTGCGCGAGCGCGCGGAGCCGGGCGCTGCCTGCAGCGAACACCGCGGGYGGCAGCCGGGGGCTGCGCCGCGCCGGGGCTCGGAAGCGCATGCCGAGTGCCCGGCACCACGGCCCAGCGCCCGGAAAGGGCAGCCTCGTGCCAGCCGAGAAATGCCCTTAATAGCCCCAAAATGACCATGTCGAGATGCCCATTCTCGCTGGGGAGGGCACAAACCCCCAATCCGCGGCTCCGAACCCGTCCCTGCTGCTGGGTCCCCCCAGCCAAGGCTCTGGCAGCCTCCCCCAGAGCCGGCTGCACCGCAGCTACCCCTCAACTAGTTAGGCAGGACCCATCCCTGGGGAGGCTCCAGGAAATCCATGAGAATTAACTGAAGGGGAGAGAATTCAATTAGGGACGGGGAAGGGCAGCTGCTAAGGGGCGAGGGGAGCTGCTGGGGCCGCCGCTCTCGTTAGCGGGGTGGCTCCGTAACCCCTTGAGTGCCGCTGCGTGCTGGGACACGGGGTGCCGGGCGCGTGCCTACGTGCTCGGTGTTGGCCCTTTTGGGGCGAGCGTTTGAGTGCAAATGCTCTGCAGAGAGGCACATCCCGCACAGGGATTTGCAACCCGCAGCAGTGCGGCGCAGCAAGCTCTGATCCCCTGGGCATGGGGCATCTTCCCGCTGACGCCACGGAGCAGCTCCGGAGAGCAGGGAGGCTACCTTGCAAACTTGCAAGGGGCTACCCGGGGCTACCTTGCAAACTTGCTGCAACTCCAGGTGGATTCTCAGCCCTCTTCAGGGCACAGCGAGTGTTTAAAGCCCCCAGGAGCTGCCTCCAGGGCCAGATCCTCTCTGCCTCCTCCCAGGCCTTGGCCACTCCGCAGTAAAKGCGCCTCTCAAAGCTCCTTCCTCAAAAGCCTTGCACCCTCCCCACTCTCCAGCACTCGCTGCACCAAGAGGATGTCCCTGGGGACACCCCAGAGGCAGCTCCACCACCCCATCTTCCTCTGGACACCTCCACGCTCACAGTGACCGCAGCAYGAACAGAAGCGACGAAGCCCAAACCTTATCCGTGTGCAAATAAAAATCTGAAACTGCAGAATCATTCCCCATCCCGCCCCTGCCGGTGCCTGGCACCCATCAGCTGCACAGGGAGGGGATGCCGTCTTTGGTCCCCACGTCCCCGCGTGGCTCCCGTGGCGGGGGGCTTGGAGGGGCCGGGGGGGCCGGTGCCTTAACGCGCTTTGCCCACACTCCTGCATTAGCCGCAGCTGAGCGGGTGCAGCGCGCGGGGTAAGAGGCGCCGTCACTTTGATTTATGAGCACATCAGGAGGAGTTTCGGCGTGACACTCGGGACTGACAGGAGCAGTTCATTAAGCTGACGCCGGGGTTGCTTGCCAGGCAGGGCCCCCGCGCGCTGCCCCCCTTGCCGGCCCCGCTGGACACGGGGGAGGCTGCCACCGAGGGGGGGAGGAGGAGGAGGAGGGGGAGGAAGGGCCCCTTGGCGAGCACAAAGAGCACCCACACACAGCAGGCACCTTTCCCCAGCCCGGCTCCCGCTGCTGCCGTAGGGAGGACGAGCAGCTGAGGGGATGTTCCAGCCATGGGACCTGGGCRCCAGGGCGCGGGACCGGCCAAGCCATCCCGCCAGCACCCAAGTTTCACCCTCTGCCAGCACGTGGGATGTGGCCGGGCTTTGCTCGGCTGGGGTTTCCTCCCTGCACAACAGGGCAGAAGCCTCTAGGAAGGGTGGCAGGATGCCTGGTGGTTGTCCCCAACCTGTCCCCATGTGGCCACTCCCTCTGCCCGGGTGGGCAGCTCCTGGCCAGGATGCATGCAAATCCCATCCCGCATCCTCTGGGACAGGACGCGCTCCAGCACAGGCTTCTGCCATGTTCCCATCCTCCTCCCTCCCACTTCTCTGGCTCTTCTGCTCTGGGGACTCTCCAACGGTCGGGAACAAAATCCCACCATAGGTCTGTCCAGAGGAACCGACATGAGCTGGGCATGAAGATGCTGAAGATGTCCCAGCTATTCCTGGCTCCGCAGCGGGAAATGACGCCATCGTGGCAGGCACTCAATGCTCCCATTTGCTCTGACCATCCTTTAGGGGTTTCATCAAAATTAATATGTGCTTTTAACTTTCTTAGCACCACCTTGGCTGGAGCTTCACGCTACCAGAGCCGTGGCCGGGAGGGCAGCCCGTGAGGAAGCTCAGATCTGTGTCCATGCAAGCACACGTGGCTGCTCCCGCTCCCGGCGCTGGCTCTGATAAAACCTGACCCCTGCGCAAAGCGAGCCCGCATGGAAAGCCAGGCTCAAAGTCTACGGAAGGCTGCAGTGGGCGCCGGCCCCGCAGGGCTGCGCCCCAAGCTGAGCACGTGCTCGGCCTCCAAATTCCAACCTCCTCCTCCAACCCCAAATGCTCCAAGCAGCAAAAGCACTGGACAAATCCAGCACACGCAGAGGCCTTTCGGGAAGCACGGCTGCACGGAAAAGCCCCCAGCGCTGCCCTGCACCTGGATGGGTCCCGGGGCAGGAAACAAAACAGGAGCGAGGGTGATGTCCGAGTGCTGCCCCTTCCCTGCCACGTGTCGGGGCCGGCCCGGAGCCACGACCGGGCCACGGGCAGCGTTTTGCTGAGACAGCCACCACACCGAGGCGGCTGCTCATGAGAGAAACGGCAATAAAACCTGTTGTGTAAATGCACTTATGCCAGGCTGAWGTCATCCTAGCAGCACAAACACCTCGCTGCTCACGCAACGGCCCCCCCAGCAAAGGGTCTGTCCCGGCAAAATGCCACCAGGCTCACCGTGGCGGCCAGCACCAGCCCTRGCCTGAGCCTCTCCCTGCTCAGACACTCAAAAGGGTTTTGCTGGAGCCGGGGTGATTTTGCACAGTGCGTTGGTTGCGTCAGATCTGCTTTTCCTGGTGCAAAAAAGGCCTCTGTGGGGTTTCTACCCGACCTGCTCACGGGTGCTGCTGTGCAGCTGGATGGGCTCGGCAAGGGCTAAGCTGGCCCCTCTCTGCCCCAAAAGGCCTTTCCTTAAGGATTCCCCACCCAGAGCAAGACTAAAGGGCTTTTTTCCCCCTTCCTGAAGCCATTGCAGAGGTCAGACTCCATCAGTGTTTGCTCATGCCCCACCTGCACATCCATGCACGGCACCAAGGGTCCAGCACCACTGAAGCCACCGGGACGGGGAGCTCCCAAGGCGCATCCAGGCCTCGCGCACACCCCGTTTTGTGCTGTTCCCTCCTTTCACCGTGATCCAGATGGGATCGCAGCCCGCGGGACCCGGTGGGATGAGCTCACCTCTTTGGGTTGCTGCTTTCCGGCTTGCTGCTGTGTCAATAGCTGCAGGTGAAGTTGCTCCTGTTGCTTCTTGTAATATTCCTGGAACTGGGAGGGAGAAAGCAGGCCAGGTTTAGCAGTGGAAATATCCGCTCGGCTCTCACTGCCTAGCGTAAGCCCCTGCCCTGCGCCCTCTTTGCTGCTGGTTCCRCTAGCTCCGGGAGTCCCAGGATTCTGGGAGATTCGAGCGGAAAAGCATCTGCCCAGAGCCTTCAGGGCTGCAGAACGAAACTTGGGATCACGYTCCTGGAGGCGCCTAAGGGCTCCGGATCCTCACAGGGAAGCAAGAAAGGAACCCCGAAGGGCACAGCCCGCTGCTGCCCTTTGCTTTCGGCCATTCCCGGCTCCCCGGAGCCCGGGTATGACGCGTGTGTGCTGGGCTTGCTCCCAGTGCAGCCACCCCGGCCGCTCCGAGGGCGGAGGGAATCCGGCGAGGGCAGATTTGGGGCACAGCTGGTAACCCTCGTGGCACCTCGCTTTTGGTGCCAGGGAAAGGGAGGCTAACGGGGCCGGCCCCGGGGCGGCTTCACTGCAAGGCAGCAGAGATCTCCCCAAAGGGCTCCCAGGGAGGCAGCGCCGGGACGTGCCGGGGGGGACGGCAGCTCTCGCCCCGGCCCCGCTAAATAAACTGTGGGTGATGGATGTGCTGCGTGCGGGCGGGGGCTGCGGGGAGGTCAGCGGCCTCCCTCCCGCCTCCCTCGGCGCAGGGAGACACCGGCTCCTCCGGAATGCCCCTGCAGATGCCGGGAAGCCTTTATCAGCTCGGGGCTGACAGCGCTGACAGCAGCAACTTTGCTTTTTGTGCCGGCCGACAGGTTTGGAAAGGCTCCGTGTTTACCCCAAAGCCAATCAAAGCCGGGTCCTTGCGCCTCGGCCGCGGGAACATTGGGTCAGGGGTGAGAGGTGTGATGTTTGGTTTTCTTCTGGTGGAGAATGCGAGCTATTCCGGCCTGGGTTGTTTAATTTGCAGTCAAACGTGTTTCTTTATCCGGCTCCAGAGCGGCTCAGAGCAGGACCCACCCAGGGTAGTGTTTACCCTTTGTTCTTTCCCTGGGGCCAACCTTGAATCCTTATCGGCGTGTTTGGAGTAAACAGGTACGGGAGGCAGGAGGAAGGGTGGGGAGGGTGATGCTTGCGGCATCAGCATCGCTCCTTCCCCGGCCGGGCTGTTTACCTAAGCAGCCTGTTTTGCTTCGTAGTTTAGAGGTTTTTTTTCTTCCCTTTTTTTTTCTTTCCTCCCTCTCTGCTCCTCTTTCCCTTGTAGATTCTTCTGGAAAGTGGCTGGACTCAAGGTTGGCCCCAAAAGCTCCCCAAAAGCTGAAAGCAGCAGCCCCAAACGTCCCTGGTGCCAGGGCTCGCTCCGTGCTGAGCTGCCAAGCCGCGTGGCGAGCGGGGCTGTGCGGTGCTGCAAGCACGGCCGGGCTTTACACGGCATCCCTCAGCATGGCACAGGCTGATCCCCAGGRAAACAGAGGAGGGAAAAGCCGGGTGCGTCGCAGGCAAAGAGCACCTCTCACCGCGCGCGGCGGCCGTACCTGTTGCAGCATTATGGCCTGCTGCTGCTGCAGGAGGGCCTGGAGCTGGGGCGGCGAGAGGATCTGCTGCATCTGCTGCGGCGTGATCATCTGCGGGGACATCATGGCCACGGACACGGGCACCTGCRGACGGCAGCGACAYGTCACRTCCCGCGGGGACAAACCCGCCACGCGGCGCCCGCCGGCCCCGCGGACAGGGGAGAAGGGGGGAGATGGCGATGGGAGGGAGAAGGGGTCAGTCCTTGATCCTGGAGACGGCCCCGGGCTGCCGGCACGCAGAGCGGGATGATGGAGGTAGGTCGGGGGCTACTGCTTTTTCCCTGCTTGGAATGCAGCTCAGCAGCGGGAATTGGAGAACTGGCAGCACAGGGAGCATTCTCATCCATGGCAAAGCAGGGCAAAGCCTCTGGAGTGCAGGGAGGTACCCAAGCCCAGCGCTCGGAGGAGCCGAGCAGGGAGGAAGAGGCTGACGGCTTTTCCATCGGCACATCCAAGCTTTTGCCTCCGGCTGACCCTGGCAAGGCCGGAATCACCGTGCTGAGGCAGGGAAGGTGAGGAACACTTGCCAACCCCCGCAGCGTGTATGATGCACAGGGGAATGTGCCAAGTGATGGATCCCAGGGCGCAGAACCTATCCCAGGACCCACCCCAGGCCAAACTCTCCCAATCGGACCCCCACAGCCTCCAAGAGGCYGAGGGGAAGATCCCCGCGCGCTGCCCCCTCCGCGGCGGGTGCCCCAGCACGCCGGCCTTCAAGGGCGATAGCAGAGGCTTATCTGTTTGCTCAGGCATTTTGCTGCGGGGAGGTGTCGCAAGTGGTCCCGGCCTCATTTGCTGCGGCCGATCCCACCCCAGCGGCCTCCTTGCCCGGTTATTTATTAATTGCAGGGCGCCCGCGCCCAAGGCTGCCCGGGGGCACCCGCACCTGGAGCCGGGGGAAGCGGCCCCGGGGACGGCACCGTCCGCAGGGCAGGCCGCGACATCGGCCGCCTTCCCGGCCACCGCAAGCCCAGGAGAAGCGCGAGGCTCCCCGGGACAGACGCCAGCTCCCGCCAGCTGTGCTGGGAACACCGGCAACATCTGGGGGGCTCCCAAGTGCCCCAGGGCGCCGGGAGCAGCCCGCCCGCTTCCCTCGGCCCATTCCTCCGCTCCCAGCGCGCAGGGAATGAGAGCCCCTAATTAATTGCTCATCTGCATCCAGCCCCCCCGCCCCGGCCGGCCGCCTCCCCGCCCCCACGCGCGGCCGCTCCTCCGCGTTTGCCGGCATTTTCCAATCGGAGGCACTCTAATTACCGGAGAGTTATAACACCTTCCATTTCTCGCCCAGCGGACTGACACCCTGTCAAGAGCAAAGAGAATTGCCAGAGGTTTTGACAACACTAATTGCCCCTATAATCTAAAAACACAAAGGAGAGGCGATTAGTCGAGAGGGCCCCAGCTCTCGATCCGACACGAGGTTTTCACAATGTTACAAGAAAACAAAAGCGACGCTTTTTAGAGTTTGATGGCTGCTAACAAAAGCAGAATTATATTTTCATACAACCTTTGTGTGCATTAAATGGCTCGCTCCCCGCGCGCGCCGGGATGCCACGCTGACGTGGGGAAGCGGCTCCTCGAGGAACCCGCGGCTCCTCGTGCCGGCCGGGAGCTGCCGATTCCACCATCCGGGATAAACCYGGCTTGGTCGTTTCCCAGTTACGAGCCTGGCTGCCTGCTTTGCGGAACAGCTGGAGCCTTCTCCAGCATCCAGCACCGAACCCAAAACAGCCCAAATGAGCCCCAATGCGGTGCAGGAGGAGCCCTGTGGAGACCACCGTGCCTGGCACCCAACCAGGATCTTTTCAAACGCTCCTTCTCCCCGGCGCTGCAATTCCTCCCTGCAGCATCATCCCCGGGCACGCCTGGGATTTGTCACCGGGAGCACGGGCTGCTTCTCTCCAAGAAGGGCCCGCGCGTGTGTCATGAGCTGGCATCCGCCGGCGAGCGAGTTGCAGCAGGGCTTGACTCACGCCTTGGCCTCCTGCCACCCCGCAAAACTGCTTACTAACAGCTTTGGCTGTCGAACAGAAAGCCTTGACGCCGGATCTGCGCGCTGCGAGCCCCATCTCGAGGGGCTGATTTTCCAGGCTGTCTTGGTTGTAATCCCTCCGCGTTGCAGGATGGAGCGGTCGGGGAGGGGGCGGATAAGCAGGCGGTGGGTGGAAAACAAGCCGGGTATTAAAGGGGAATCTCGGCATTCCAGGGAGCATGGAGCAGCTCTGCCCAAGCCAGCTGAGCGGAGCGGGGTTTGGCCGGGCGGAACGCAGCCGGGCTCGGAGCAACGCGGCGGGGTTTGCTCTTAACGGGAAGCAGATTTCAGGGAATGTGACGTCCCCTCTGCCCGGGAGTTCACAACGTCCGGCTGCTCCTGGGAGGAGACAGGATTCCCAAACTTGGAGCTGAGGACACCAGTGGCGCCTTCACGATGCAACACGGGACTGGGCTCTCCAGATCCCAGGAGGGAGCCGGCGGCTCGCTCAGCATCCAGGCCCCCCCGCGCTCACCTCCGGCTCCAACACGAGCCGTTACTCACGCGTGGCACTTTCCCAAGGAGCTGGCCGCGCTCCCACGGGAGGCTGGGGCGGTTATACGGGAATAAAGCCTCCTGCAAGCTCAGCTCCGCACCTAAAACCCGGCTCCCGACCTGCTGCCGCGCTGTCCACACCGCCCTYGCTGCCTTGCTCGCGCCGAGCGAGCGGCTCCCCTCCAGACCCACAAAAAGGACCTGGCGCCACCCCCCTGGCTCCGCGCACCTGCAAGGGTGCTGGGCGCCCAGCAAAGGCTGCCCGGGCTCGGCAGCCTCGCGAGGCCGTCGCAGCGGGCGCGAGCAGGGCACAAGCTCACGGCAAGCGCGCRGCCGCCGGAGCCGCGCCTGCCCGCGGAGGGAAGGAGCAGGGCTCCTATTGATCYGTCTTCATTACCCATTTCACGCAAGTTTCAAATCAACAAAATACACTTTTCCGCTCCAGCGGCCTCCCCGCCAGGGCACACAAAAGAAAAGCAATTTCCCGCAGTTTGCTCCCAACTCCTCTCCCTTCCCTCGGTGCCCGTCATCCCCGCTCCCTTCGCGGAGACTCCTCGACTGCAGCGAGTTGCCTTCCCCAGCTGTGCTGGGATCCCCCATTCCTGCTGTGGGAAGGGAAAAGCCAYGAAACTCCCTAACACCCGACGATTCGGCGGGTCCTGCAGCCTCCAAGCGGCACCAAGAGCGGGGTCCAGGGCCGAGCACGCCGGAGAGAGAAGCGCTGCGCAAGTCGCGAGCAGCGCGAAGCCTCCGGTGCAACAGCAACCATCGCTACGAGTTTGTAATCGCTCTGAAGTTGCAGAAAAAAAAAAAAAGTGCTTTAAATCCAGGTGTTTTTTGTTGTTGTTTTCTCTCTCCTTAGGCAGCTGGAACTGGAGGGCTGTCTGTGAGACTGTCYTCACGCAGCTACCCCGCCTGGGACACAGTTTCCTACCCAAAGCGGTGATGGCCGCGGAGCTCCGCAGCGCCCTGCTTGGGGCTCAGGAGCCGCTTTGCTCGYATTCCCGCGGCACTATCCGGACCCGGCGCGGCTGGAGCCGCTTGCTCCACGCGCGCCGGCAGCTGTGGAAGCAGCGGGAACGTCRTGGTGCTTCCCGCTTCCCAGCCAGGACCCCAGTGCTCCTGCAAACCTGCCCTCGGCCAGGACGCAAGAGGGAAGCTCAGAAGCTGCTTCTCCCAAGCAAGGGGGCTGCACACCTCGGCCGCTGCCCTGGGGCATCATCGGCAGCCCCTCATTCCTGCAAAACGCCCCCAAATTGGCCATTCTGCCACTGCAGAGTCCGCAGGCTGCCGGGCACCTGCACCCGTGCAGGACGAGCCCGCCAGGGCGATGGCCGCGGGGGCCCCACGCTCCCCAGCTGCCGGGATTCGGGAACGCCGCATTCCCTGTGCCGCACTCCCCCTCCCTGGGTGGAATCCGCGTCGAGGAGGATGCAGCCTTCCTCCTCCTCCTCCTTGTCCTCCCCCTACAGCGGCGCAGCCGTCCTGGCCAGTCTCATCCACACCACTCCGCCGTTAGATAAACTTCCTTTCAAAGGAGCCTGCTTAATCCCTATCTCCCCGCGGCGGGATCRCGCTCCAGCTGCCGGCGCGGGCCGGGGGGAGGCCGCTGAGTTATGAGCTATTTCTGACTCACGTCTGCCACTTTCACAAGTTCCTTTGCAACACATAAGGGAGGAGGAGGAGGAGGGAGCGGGGAGAGGAAGGCAGCCCGAGTTAACTCTGGAAAAGCCGGCCACGTGGCTGGGAAGACACAGAGCGCAGGGCAGGGAAGCGGTGGCGAGGAGAGCAGGACGCCCTTTACCGGAATCTGACTTCACTCTTTCTGCCTTTGTTCTTCCGAGAGATTTTCCATGCACTGACTGCGCTTCCTTCCTGCGGCTGCGCTTGGACCCGGCTGGGCCGCGGCCCGGCCGCTGCCCGCGCGGGCGCAGGAGGGGACAGCAGGGACAGCAGCGCCCCAGGAACAGCCCCAGTGGCCCCGCTCCAGAGCCCGGCGGTGGGAAAGGCCAGCGGGATCGGCGGGATCCTGCAGCCCACTGTTTCTGCACTGGAGATGCAGCTCCACAGTTCACACCCTAACAGTGGTCAATGGGGGACGCAGGAAAGAGCCGACGGCAGCTGGCAGAGCCGGTCAAAGCCCCYGGTGCCCCCGCTGCGTCCCGGAGAGCGGGGTGAGGAAGAGGGTGGGCGAGGAAGGCAGCTCTACTGGCATGGGCAGGACCTCCCGCTTGCAGAGAGCTTGGGCTAATTACTTCCCTTTGTTAATTAAGCCCACGTGGCTCTAATAAGGTAACCTGCTGTTCTCCGATAAATTTAATTAGCCTGAAGGGAGAGCCCCTCCGCATGGCTATTTAAATTGTCGCTTCCCATTCACTTGGGCTTTGTGTCTTTCCTCCCTCCTCTGTGCTCTCCAGGTCCCTTTGCTTCCCTCCTTCCATCCATCCTGTCTGCCCCCTTCCTTTCAGGACAAAGTGGCCAGGGAGCAAAGGGAAGGTCCCCATGGGGAGCAGGACACACTGCACCCCGGATCCGTCTTTCCCAGGATAACTCCCACCACTGAAGCCCAGTGTCTGCTGCAGAAAACACCTGGGCATGAGGTGAATCCCATCCTGGTGCCAGCACCGATGGCATCGGGGCGTTTTAAGGGCCCCTCCTGGCCCCATCCGCAACCCTGCTGGGGCAAAGCCGAAGGCGAGGGATGCGGAGGGAGCTAAGGAAAAGCTGCAGGGGGAATCTGGCTGGCCGGGAGCTACGGAAAAGCTGCAAGGGGCCTGTGGGCGGCCGGGCGCGCGTGCTGGCCTCACCTGCACCGCGGGCTGCTTGGTGTCATTGGGGCCGGGCGAGCTGAGCCCCGCGGCCTGCTGCAGCAGGAACTGTCGAGCCACCTGGAGAGCCTGCAAAAGAGACACAGCGGGTGGGCAGCGCGCGGGCACCGGCCCCCAGCCGGCTCTGCTGCTTCCCGAGCCCTCGGGATTAGCGGGGAGCCTCCCCGCTGCGCCAAAGGCCTGTGCACAACCTCCCACAGATCACGCAGGGCTAAAATTCTCCAAGATTTGGCCCATTTCCATCACCCTTTATCACCTCCATCCCCTTTGCAAGCAGCGCTGCCAGCAGATGCAACCAAAGGAGTCGCGGCTACCGCCGGAGCTCGTCCTTCCGAGCGCTCCCGCGGAGCCGCCGCACGGCGCGCGGGGTTTTCCTCCTGCCGCTGACAACCCACATGCCTGGAGCCACAGCGTGTATTTAATTATACAGCTGATTGTCACATTGTAGCACCAGGAGTCCCCGTCGCCAGCCGGGATTTTGGTCGCGCGCCGCGCGGTTTCCGCCCTGCGCTAACAGCTCGGTGCGGCTGACAGCGTTCCCGGCCGTGCCAAAGTTTAGCAGCGCTGGCGAGTGCCCYGAGGTGCAGCCTGCTGCTTTTGATGATAGTTTCCTTAGCACGCGCTGGTTTGCAAAGGGTCTTGCCTGAAGGAGGGAGCTGTCATGCAAAAGGGGRAAAAAAAAACAACGTAAATGGTCAAAAAAACGGGCGTCAGTGCAAGCCGCTAGCTGATGTGAGCAGCACGGCAGCAGCCTCCTGCAAACGTGGAATTGGCGAGAACCCTGCAAGGAGGTGCTGAGGAGAGAGCAACAAGTGCGGGCAGCGAGCTGCAAGCCCCGGGGACAGGGAGCCGCACGGGGGGGCCCCGCGGCTGCTGCTCCAGCTGAGCCTCCTCGGGCGCTCCCTGCTTGCGCTTCCCGAGCAGCCCTCTGTGCGCAYGGGGTTGCTCCCGCTTCCCCCTTTCGGGGAGGGCTGTGCACAACAAAGTCATTGTGGCGCTGCCGGCACGACGGGTTTTTATTGCGGCGCGGAGCCGGCGGGGGGGCCGGGGGCGCCGGGTCAGCGCCCAGCTTGGCGGTGCTGCAAACAGCATGTGGGTTCCCCGAGCTGTCAACACCCCGGCCGTAAATCACCGCGCCGGCTTCCAGGCGGCGGCGGGGCGAAAGGGGCTGCCGGGGGCGGATTTTCCGCCCCTCTTTGCAGCGCGCAGGGAACAAAGTCGCAGGCAAAAGCCGGCGTTTGTGAGCACTGGCTTTTGCTCGGGAAGGAGCCGGCCACAGTTTTCTGCTGCAGACGCCAGCGCGCGGTCTGTCCGTCCTGAAGGTGGACACGGTCCGGCCTTTTTTATTAAAAAGAAATAGTTTCGTGCAGAAAGACCCAGCCCAGCAGCTGTGYCCCAAATGCAGCCAAGGCAGGAAGCGAAGCGGGTGCTCGCGAAGTATCAAACAGCCCCACAAAAGCCCAGGAATTTCCATACGGCACGGACGGTGCGGACGCTGGTGCTGCGCTCCGGAGAGAAACAGAGCTGTTGGACGTGCAGCTCGCCGAGCAGGGCAGCAGAGCAAAGCGAGCGGTGGCCCAGGCGCTCCCCGCTCCGGCTTCCTGGAGCTGTGCTGGGAACTGCAGCGCGGAGCCGAGTGCCGGGGCATCCCGCTGCCCACGCTCTCGCTGCGCTGCCGGCTGCTCGCTCGGTGCCTTTCCCTGTCCGCACCACGTGAAACTCCCCCAGGATCCGCAGGCAGCTGCCGCATGGGAACGCGACGACTCAACCAACTGCCATAGAAAAACGGGCAAAACGCGACCAAAAAAGACATTCCGRTAAAACCAGAGCCCTGCCATCGCTCCTTGGCTTTGCCAAGGCTGTCCTGGGAACAGCCAGACCCCAAGGCTGATCCTGAAGCCCATGTGAGTGCAACCAAAGCCGCGGTGGATGGAGAACATCAAGCAGGAGGAGATCCTGGCTGCGGGGCAAGACACCAGGCAGATTGATCCCGGGATCACCATTCCCAATCCCAGCCGCTCCCGRGTGCTGCCCTGCAGAAGCGCCGCTCTCCTGCCCGCCCCGGCTTGAGCCGCCCCGGCCGCGCGGGCCACGCCAGGACAGCCCGGGGCTGGACAAGGCTTTGGGATCCCTGCGACGCCGCTGGAGTTTCCCAGAGCCGGCAAATTACCTGAACGAGCTGAACACGGCTTGGGCCAGCGCCGGGCTGGCCTCCAAAGGGTGGCAGGATGGGATGGGGATTGGGATGGGAGCAGGATTGGGAGCAGGATCGGGAGCGGGATGGGAGCAGGATCGGGAGCGGGATGGGAGTGGGATGGGGAGTGGGATGGGAGCTGGATGGGGAGCAGGATGGGGAGCAGGATGGGAGCGGGATGGGGAGCAGGATGGGAGTGGGATGGGGAGCAGAATGGGGAGCAGGATGGGAGCAGGATGGGAGCGGGATGGGGAGCAGGATCGGGAGCGGGATGGGAGTGGGATGGGGAGCAGGATGGGGAGCAGGATGGGAGCAGGATGGGAGCGGGATGCGGAGTGGGAAGGTCCACGGCGCACGGGAAGGGGCAGCGGGAGCGAGGGCCCCGCCGCCTCTCGGGGGGATTTCATTCCCTCCCTGCTGACTCGCACTTTGCTGTGCTCCGAAGCACGAAATTACAAGATTTACAGGAAAAAATGACACGGCCTGACAATGGCAGGCAGGGGCCGGAGCCCCAGAGAGGCCCYGGGTTTGGGTTACAGCATGTCCTGGACAGATGCTTCATCCTGGTGGGATGAAGTTTTCCATAGGGAAAAGCACACAGCACATTGCCCGTAATCAGCCCTTACTTCAGAAACCACCTGCCCGCAGGAGAACAAAAGTCCCCTCTTAAATCTGGCTGCGCTTTCCCCTCCGAAGGAGCTGGAGCAAGATCATTTTTTGAAACTTGTATCCTGCTGCACGGTGTTATTCAGGAGTCATTAGCACGCTACCCGTAATTAGGAACGAATGGGTTGTGTCAAATTCATCACGCTCCTGCACGGCTCCCTTTGATCAGCAAATTATCCCATTAAAAAGTTTGCAGTGTCTCAGCCACTGACGTCAAGGGCTGCTGCCGCTCGGCTTTGTCCTCCAAAAGAGCAGCAGCGACACGTTCCAGAGCTTGGGAAGAGGACGGGAATTCTTCCTTTGCCGGGGGGCCCACGGGCTTCGCACGGGCGCAGAGCTCCCCACGCGGGTTACCCCACGGAGGATTTTATGGAGGATTTTAACTGGTTTTCGCTGCAGGATGATGCTGATTTARCTAACATATATTTTTAACTGCTAGAACTGAATCAGGAAAATACAGCCATGGTTTTGCCAGCGCCCCAGTGCATCTCATACCACTTCTTCTAATGAAGCCCACGGCAGAGCTGAACATATCCCTTTACCAAGCCTGACCTGCAGCCAGCCTCTCTGAGGCAACCAGGATGGTTAAGGGCACTTGGGAAAAGGCTCCCGCAATTCCCGTGTTCCCATAAGAGCACCTGGGAAAAGGCTCCCGCAATTCCCCTGTTCCCATAAGAGCACCTGGGAAAAGGCTCCCGCAATTCCCGTGTTCCCAGCTCGTGCTGCCTCCCCTGCTGCTCGCTCGAGACGCTCCCCTCCCACTTCTGCACTTGCTGGTTTTTTTGCAGCCAGGCTGCAAAACACACCAGAGCCCCGAGAAATGCAAAAAAGTGAACGTGGGGGCGGCAAATAAAACATGTTTTGGATTAATCCCAGGAGCAGCCAAACAAGGTGTCCAGACAGCGGGAATGCAGTGCCAGGAGCGGCTCCCGGGATGCTGGAGGAGCTCCCAGGATTTGCTCAGGTGCTGGGGCAAGGAGCCGGGAGAGGCTGCTCTCCCTGCACCGGGATAGGGAGCCCGGAGCAAACGGAACGGGTGGATCCTGGAGCGAGCGGCTCATCCTGCAGCCAGGGCGTGCGGACTCCGCAGGGGAAACGGACCATTATCCCAGCTTCCACCCAACATACCTGGAGATCACTTCATTAGCTCCTTCCCCAGAGGCTCCCATGCTCTTCCAGGCCGGATTCCACCTCCTSCGGCAGAGCCAAGGAAGGCGGCAGGGCGCCCGCGGAGCGCTCCCCTTGGCGCAGTGAATCGGGGCACCTCAGCCCCTGCCCGCCCCTCGGCCACGAAACTGGATCTCTCGCCYTTGCTTGGCCACTTTTTCGGTTTTAATCTCCTTCCCAAAAACTTCTCAGTACTGAACCTCCCAAGGCCTTGGATCAYCTGGTCAAATTTGGGGAAAAAAATTAAAAAATAAATAAATAAAAATGGATCAAAAAGTACAAAAGTTCCTGGGCAAGGACAGAGGTACCCGTAGGTCTGTGGCTGAGCCAGGCGGCCCTCTCCGGGAGCCGCAGCCCACAAATAGCCCAGGGAATTCCCACCCGGACGGCATCAACGCCCTGAATGGGGTCTGAGCCTCCAATTAATTAACAAAACTCGAAAAAAATAAAAAAAGCTTTAAAAAAATTATATGCAACCAAGAATTTTGTAGGGAAGGAAGCAGAAAGTGGCTCTGTAAAGAGATTTTATATTTCTGTTCTGCTCCCCAACTCCTTTTTCCAAAAGTTGTTTCTGGTGGTGGGGTTGGGAAGGGAGAAAAAAGTTAACCAACCAAACGAAAAAAAAAAATTAACACTAACCTCATAAAAATGACATTGTCGCATTCCAGGATTAGAGCTATTAAACCAACACACACGCTCGCAGATATTTTTAGCTGGATATTAACCGTAAATGATGCCATATTGAAAAGCACTTCCACCCAGCCCAGCCTGGCTTAACCAGAACCAAATGGCTCCACGAGATCAAGATGAAGAAAATGACACAATTCTTCACGGGAAAAAAAAGAAAAAAGAGAAAAAAAAAAAAAAGAGAAATCCTTTTTACAGCCAGTGCTGCCTCTTTCCCTCCTGGCCTGGCCGGGCTCCCTTTTGCTGCACACACTCCAGTGCTTCTGCCCTTCATTCCTCCGCTCCTGATGCCATTAATGAAGAATACAAGGAACGAGCTCCGGAGGATCCCATCCTTCCCGGAAAAAAAGGGGAAAAAAAAAAAAAAAAAAGAAGGGAAAAAAAAAAGCCCCTCTTGCATTCATGCTCAGTAAAATGTGAAGTATAAATCAAGGGGCCTAATAGAGAGATGAGTTTCACTTAAGTGCTCCGATCTCATTTTTATCTTAAATACCCTAATAATAGCGTATTACACAATATATTTGAAATGCGATCACATGCTTTATGGAACGGTGTCTTTCCCAGTGCAGCGAAGGGCCCTTCCTCCCCCATCCACACCCTTCCCCTGACAGCGAAGCAGCCCGATGTGCTCCTCTCCAAAAAGCCTTGTTTTTGGTTAATAACTTCGCAGTTTTTCACATGTGCCTGCAATAAATGGYGAGGGCGGGATTTTTTCTTTTTGGATAATAATAAAAAGGAAAAAAACAGGCCGAGCAGCAGCAGAGCGGCTGGCTGGGCTTTCCAGATGGCTCCTTTTCCATAGGATGGCAATTTGGAAGGAGCTACCGCGGGAGCGCGGAGGCTGCAGCGGGGCTTTGCCGGGAAAGCTCCACGTGGGATCGCCGCCGAGGCCGGGGAGTCAGGGCTATTCCCCTGGGAATCAGGCCCGTGGCCATTCCCAGGCATCCCGCTCCTGGAATGGGTTTGGATTTGGGGGTAGGACTTAAAGGGGGGAAGGAAAAGAAGGGGGGCAGCYCAGTTTGGAGGAGAGGGGGTCCCCCGGGCCAGACGCAGGCTTTGCTCGCGGGTTCCCCGGGACATCCCGCTCCAGGCGCTGCCTCCCGGTGCTGCAGCTCCGGMATCGGCCTTGGCATCCGGGGAGGCACTTGGGGCTCGTGCAAAGCGCGCGGGCAGGAAAGGCATCCCGGAGAGCCCCAGCTCCCGGGAAYGGGGAGCCGCGGCAGCGGGAAGGACTGGGCCGGGTGCCCCTGCCCGGCTCCACACCCGGATCCCGCGGGGCGCGGATTACGCTGGGGCCGCGGCGGGGCGACCCCCGCGTTAAAAGCTCATTAATGTGCAAAGCCGGCGGGGCCCTTTGGCGGCTCCGAGGATGCGAGCGTGCCGGAGGTCTCCCGGCGTTCCCACAGCAACGGCGGTGGGAGATCCCAGGCGCTAGGCAACCTTCCCGTGCCCCCGGCTGACCTCTCCCCCCCGCCGCCCGCGCCCTATTCAGGCCCCCCGACGCTTTGCAGCCGGGCCCCACCATTGAAATCCAGGGATTTAACCCCAACGCCGCGCCGCCGGCCGCGAAGGAGGCGGGGGAGCGCTCCTTGCCTCCCCTCCGGCCCCTTTCCTGCAGGATGCCGGGATGGCGCCATTCCTGAGGCCGTGAAGGCTCTCCCGGCTGCAGGATGCCTGGAAAATGCAGCAAACGGGGTGCAGGGAAATGGGGTGCAGGGAAAGGCCGGGAGGAGCAGCTCATGGGCAGCCTGGAGATGCATTTTCACCCTCTCCGCATCCTTGGAGAYGCATTTTCATCCAAGAAAACCAGCTCACCTCRGGCCCCCTYCATCAGCACGGCACTCCGGCCCAGWAAACACTTCCAGGCCACTTTTCCCTGGCTTTATCACGAAGACCTTCCCCACGAGCTGCCCCCCACCCGGGAGGGGGAAGCCCAGCCTGGCAGCGGGAATGCAGAAGCTGAAGGAAACTTGGGGGCATTTTGGAGCAAGCCCATCRTGGGAATTGTGCCCCTCGGATGCAGGTCCCTATGGATCCTGGCCACTAAACGAGGCCAAACTTGTCCCCTGGAAGCCACCAGTGCTTCTTCCAGCTGAACGTTGGCGGGGAGGTCACAAGGAGGGTTTACACCCTCAGACTCCTAACTCCTCGCGGGATTTCACACATTTAAGGAGAAACGAAGGGAGCAAGAGCGACACGGCAGGAGCTGCAGCCAGGCCGGAGGAGCCGTCAGACAGGAACGGCGCGACGGCGCGGGACAGCGCGGCCCGCAACGCGGGCAACGGCTRCATGCTGCTCGGGACGGGCACAGCCGCCATAAAGCACCTAATTGTGCAAAACTCTCCACATGGGGACATTTATTCTTGACCCCAGCTGGTGCTCGGCCTGCTCCCTGAAGCACGAAGATTGATGGGCCCCGAGCTGCCTTTCGTCTTCCTCCCTTTGCTCCCCGAGGTGCTGGCACCGCACGTGTCGGGAAGCGGACCAAACCCGCCGGCTCYGCGGGAACCCCCAGCAACGACGGCGGAACGGGGAAAAGGAAAGGGAGGAATTAACCCGGCTCCCGCGTGCGGGGAGCAAGGGGAGGAAGGGCAGGGAGAGGAGCGAGAGGAGGAAGAGGAGGGAAAGGAGGAAGTGGAGGGAGAGGAGGAAGTAGAGGAATGGGAGGAAGCAGAGGGAGAAGAGGAGGAAGGGGAGGAAGAGGAGGAAGAGGAGGGAGAGGAGGGAGAGGAGGAAGAGGAGGGAGAGGGGGAAGAGGAGGAAGGGGAGGAAGAGGAGGAAGAGGAGGGAGCAGAGGGAGCGGAGGAAGAGGAGGGAGAGGAGGAAGAGGAGGAAGGGGAGGAAGAGGAGGAAGGGGAGGAAGAGGAGGAAGGGGAGGAAGGGGAGGGAGAGGAGGAAGAGGAGGAAGGGGAGGAAGAGGAGGGAGCAGAGGGAGCGGAGGAAGAGGAGGGAGAGGAGGAAGAAGAGGGAGGGGAGGAAGAGGAGGGAGGGAAGGAAGAGAAGGGAGGGGAGGAAGAGGAGGGAGGGGAGGAAGCAGAGGAAGGGGAGGAAGCGGAGGGAGAGGAGGAAGAGGAGGAAGGGGAGAAGAGGAGGAAAGGGAGGAAGAGGAGGAAGAGGAGGGCGCGGAGGGCACCCGAATGCTGCGGCGGTTGCAGGCGCGCGCCGAGCGCGACGGCGGCTCCCGGCCGGGGCCAGGACACGCATGATTACCCTGCAGATCAGGGGAACGGGGGCTTAACTGCGTGCGAAACGGCTGCTATTCAGGTAATGGATTTACAGCACTCGCTACTAAAGTATCAGACACAGCAATTTTTTACAGCTTTCACGCTGGAATTTATGGCTCGGGGAGGCGAGCTCCGTACGAGGCAGGGATCATTGCCTTATTTAGTATCCGAGGAAGGGAAATTTATGTTTTCTCCGAAGTTTGTTTGCAAAGGTAACCTGCAGGCACGGCCCGCCCGGCTGCGCTGCGGCGCGTGCGCCGGGAGCGAGCCAAGGAAAGGGACCCGCGCACTGTCCCAGGCACCAACAGAGCAGAACTGTCTGATCCTTGTTCCATGGGGAAGGGGATTCTCCAGGCCTCTCAGAGAACCCAGCCCTGGGAGGACCCGATCCCCAGCTGCCTTGCGCGGGGGTCTGGAACGCAGCAGGTTGCGAGGAGGAGGAGGAGGGTGGGAGGAAGAAGCGGGCGTCTCTCCTACCTGCTGCTGCTGGAGGTGCAGGAGCTCCACGGGGCTCATCTCGCCGTTGGGCTCGCCGCTGGCCGCTCCTTCCCTGCCGCCGCCGCCGCCGCCGCCGCCATCGGGCTGGCTCGCGAGGCTGCCCACGCCGTTCTGGCCCGAGGGCGTGGAGCGGATCGTCTCCGAGGCGGATTCAACCATCATGACGCGCTAGCGGGACCTGCAGCCACGGGGCAAGGAGAGAGGCCGCGCTGAGGAGAGCGCGGCGGCCCCCGGCGCATCCCGCTCCGGGATGCGGGAACCGCTGCGCTTCTCCTCTCTCCTCTGAATAGGAGAGAAAAAAGAACAGAAATTCTGAAAACCAAACAGAATTCCTGGATTTTTGCAAAGAATTAGGGATTCCCAAACCCTTCCCTCGAAACTCGGGGCGGCAGAGGTTCCAGCCATGGGCGGATGCCACCCTGAGCGCTTCAGAGCTGACACGCTTCCAAGCACTCCAGCAAATGGGCCTTTTCCAAGCCAACGCTAGGAGAAGCGCTCTGCTAGGAAAAGCAGAGCCAACGACATCAAGAACCTTGACCGGGACATGGTGCCCTCTTCCCAGCTATCTCCTCGCTCCCACAGGATGCGCAGCCCAGAGCATCCGCATGCCCATGGCACACACTCCATTTGCTCCCCTGCTTCAGCCTCATGTGGGTGCTCTGCTGAATTTTACACTGATTTTATTTAATGCAGGGACAGAATTCCCTCTGATCCCTCTTGGGGCCAGAGCGCAGCTTTTTCTTGGTGGCTTTCCCCGCTAATCTCCTCCAGGAGATCGGAGGCAAAGCTCTTCCTCCTGCGCCCAAACACTGGGATACTGCAAGATTTGGGGATGCGCAACCTCCGTTTCGACCTCAGGAGCACCTGGATATCAAAGGAGTAGGGAAGCCGATATGGGAAGAGCATCTGCCCAGCGCTGCTCAGAGCTGGGCAGCAAGTTTGCAAGCGGAGAGGAGCAGGGACAGGGACGGCGAGAGATGCTGCTGCCTCCCCTTTCTTCTCTCCTTTTCTCCCTTCTTCTCCCTCCCCACCAAAAAGAGATAGAAAGACAAACCGCGAACAACATAATTGCTGAAATGTGGCGTGTAATAATAGCTATTCAGAAGCTGATCATTCATATTAAACAGGGTGAAGCAAGCTTCTCATTTGCATGTTTGAGATTATATGCATTTCAAAAGTCATTTCCGCAGGGTATATGAGTGACATTAATTCCCATGTGGAGTTGCCGGCTCCCCTCCTGCAGCCCTGGCACTATCAAAAAGCCCCACGGGCGCACGCAGACACACGCACGCGGGGACACGCTGGTGGCTGCGGGAGAATTCAAGGTTAAAGGGATGACTGCCTTTATTTTTCTTTTTTTCCCCCTTAAATTGCAAAAGGGACGTGGGGACAGCGGGGCGAGGGGGCCCGAGGAGCGGAGCCGCGTTGCAAGGCGGGAGCGGCGACTACCGGGAAAGGAAGCACCGTCGTGCAGGCGTCGTGTTAGGGCAAAAACAGAGAAAAAGACCAGGAAAGGAAGAGCAATGGGAGGCGACTGAGCGCACAGCCACGTGCGCAGCGGCCCCAGCACCCATAGGAGCTCCGTGCCCTGCAAAGCCTCCCTGCACTGTCCCAAATCCTCAGCCTCACTTGTTTCCAGCCCATTTCAGCCTCGGAATCAGGATTTGCTCCCTTTCTGCTGCGTCTAACAAGAGGCTTTGGGAAAGATCATATTTTTCTTGTTACTTTTCTCGTTTTCCTTTGGATAAGGTCGCAGGTAGCCCCGAGTTTGAAGGAGGCGCCGCGGGCTCCGTCTGCACGGAGAAGTCACAAGGCATCGCCRCGGCCAAAAACCCAGCGGGACTCGAGAAGGGATTTGACTTTTATATGGAGAACAAGAATATCCCAAGTTACAACAGGAAGTATTAAAAAAGGGGGAAAAAAACAGGAAAAAAAAAAAAGTGGGGAGAAAAAAGTTTTGGAAAGGATATAAACTTTCCTGGCTTCGGGGCATAAATTGAAGCCCGACAATTGGGAATTAGGAGGAAATCTCCTCCCTCAGATGAGCTGAAAACTTGGGCTCTCTTTACCTCTGCCCAGAAAGCATCCGAGGCCGTTCCCGAGCGGAGCCGGCGGCTCCGGGTCGGAACGCCTCCAGCCGGGGCAGCTCCGCACGCTCTCCAAGCCCCGGAAATCTGCTCCGGCCCYAGGGGCTGCCGGCGCACTTGGGCTCCCGACACTGCAAGGGAAGTAATAAAAGAAAGTCATAATAATAATAACAGCGAAAATATTTCCGTGCCTGTAAAAGTTCTGCAAAACCTTAAAGAGGGTTTTCAACGTTCAGGCACTGCCTGAATGTTACGGAGGCGACGGAAACAGGGGACAAGCCCCGCTCGGACCGGGCTGACGGAGCTGCAGGGTGGCAGCGAGCGGCCCCATCCGCATCCCTGCACGGGCAGCAACCTGGAAAAGGGCAAGMGTGGGAACGTGCTCCGAAGCAGGGGACCTCGAGCGAGGCAGCGCCACGGTCTCGCTAAGCCGTTTCTGGAGGCCAGAATCAAAACCGTTTTCCCCAAATAACTGTTTTCACCAAACAGCTGCTCCTTCGCTTCCCCCGCTCGCTGCACGCACCTTGCACGGGACAAAACCGGAGAAGCCGAGAATTACGGACACTGCCTAGAGAATCCCCCGGCCCCCTGCAGTGTACGGCAACGAGCGTGTATTAATTCCGGCTGCCTTTTAATTAACAGTTACTTCACGCAAGCAGCAACGTTTCCGCGACACCCTCCGACCGGCCGCTGACCCGYGGAGCGCGGCGCCCACCAGGCCAAGGCCTCAATTCACATTTATCGGCGTTTTTCTCCCCCATCACCATCCTCTGCACGAGGCCCGAAAGTGGCGCTTTCCAATTAGCACCTGCACGCTCGCTAATTAGCGCAATTAAGGGCGATGCCCGGGGGAGCGTGCGCGAGCAGGGTCAGAGCGCGAACACGCGGACACACGTGCGCGCGGCGCTGCCACCTTCCCGCGCCGCCACGGGGCGGAAACCACGCAGAACCCAGTATATACGCATTTAAATATAYATATATATGAATACGTGTGTGTGTATATATATATGTGTATATATATCTAGGAGATGCAGGGATTAACCAAGCCTCAGTGCTCGGTCCCCATGCCAGCAGCATTGACCTGCATTCTGCCATAGATGGATGCCCCCTTGCCTCAGTTTCCCCGGAGCAATAAAAGCGCCCRGAAAAGCCACCCCAAGAGGGCTCAGGACAAAGAGCAGCACAAGCCAAGGACGCTCGGCYGCCCGCAGCAACCCACTGAGCACAACCGGCCGGGCAAATCCCATGGAGCGGCGCCCACGGCCATGGATCCAGCGGAAAACGCAGCGCAGGCGGCTCCGGAGGAAGCAGCGCGGGGCTCGGGAATGTTCAGGTGCAGGCGCTGGAGCCGCTCCGAGCGGCGGAACATCGGRCAGGCTGCTCAAGGCCAAGGCTTTTGGCAGCCGCTCGCTAATCTTGAAAGGCTTCGGCTCGCGGAGGAGCGGCAGCGGCCGGGATTGCTCCGAGAGGGGCTTTTTTACCCTTTAATTAACACACAAACACATGGAAATGTGGAGAGGGGATTAAAATAAAAGTCTGGGGGAGCTAAACCGAATTTAAAGCATTACAGTAAATTAGAAGAGATTTAAGGAGCCAAGGATTGGCTAAGTCCAGGCACCACTTTAATGGGATCTCACCTCCGGGCTCTTTCATCTCCCACTTTCATCTTGCTCCCAGCAACTAACTTCTCGGGGAGGAAGGCAAGGCCGGTGCCCTCCTCCTCCTCCTCCCTGGAGTGCAGGCCTCTCCCACCTGCGGCAGCTCTGCAGCCGCCCTGCTCGTGATGAGTCCAGTGAATCCTTCGGGAATAACGGAGCCGTTTCCCTTTGGAAAGCTGGGATAGCCTGTTTGGGCAAAGCTGAGTGCATGGGGAAGCACGAGTGCCTCCGACGGACCCGTCCCTCGGGACCAGGTGGATCCCGTGCCCAGGGCCCAGGCGATCCCATTCGGGAATCACTGCTCTCCGGAGCTCCCTCGAGGWTGTCCTGACCCTGGCAAAGCCCCGGGACAACTCCGAGGGCCCCGGAACCACGGGGAAAGAGCCCTGGGGAAAAGCGATTGCCAGCATTTGCCTATTCCCCACTCCGGTCCAAGGAAGCGCGGGTGCCGCGGGATGCCCGGAGCGGCCGCCGGGGCCGGTGYCAGGCGCTCGGTGGGCGCCGGGATGGAGGCACCGGGATGGAGCCGCCGGCCCCACTTCCCTCCCTGCCGCTCTTGAAAAGATTAAAAAAAAAAAGCGCCCCACTCCAGCTCATTAGGAAAGTAAACACAAGAGCCGTCTAAGTGTCTAATTAAGCTTCTAATTAGTCCCTGCTTGTTACTAATGCAAATTAGATTACGCCGCTTAACTACAGCATGTCCACAACACCCTTGTTAATTGCGGCCTTTTGAAATTAAATTACTCCCTAATTAGCATATCAAAGCCATTGATTCGGAGCCAGGAAAGACGAGGGCAGGAGGAAGCYGAACGCCAAGTTTGGTTAATCAGGGACATCTAATTAAATAGTGACGTGGGGCACGGGGTCCCGGCTCGCTGCTTGGGAGCCCTCGCTGGGGCGGATGGGGAGGACCCGGCCCGGGAAGCTCCCTGCAGACAGGGCCCAGGCCTGGGATGTGCCCAGCAGCGGGAACGTCGCCTTGTCGCCTTTCAGATCCGGTATCGGCTCTTCCAGGGATGCAGAGTGAGGAGGGAGGGATGGAGAAGAGGCCGCATGACTGCCCTGGTCCACGGGTGGGCAGCCCCAGGCGAGCAGCATCCTCACGAGGCCCCGCTCTTCCTCCTCACGAGGCCCCGCTCTTCCTCCTCACGAGGCCCCGCTCTTCCTCCTCCAACAGCACCAAGCTGCTCCCGGAGGGCACAGGGGCAGTGGGCACCACGACCCACCAGGGTCCCTGTCCCCCTGCTCCAAGCACAGGGGCAACGAGGCAGCTCCGCAGGGATCACCCCATCCGCAGCCCCAAAAGCAGGAGAAATCCAGGAGGCACTAGGGACAGGCCCAGGTCCGTTCATTTCAAGGAGAGCCAAAATGAAGCAGACACCTCATTTTTTAAAAAAACTATTTCAGTAACTCGTGA